TGGACATTTTAGAGGGGGAATACCATAGGAATACATAGGAATACAATAAAATATAATGGGAATACATGGGAATCCCTGGACGTTTTCCCTTTGGGTGGTTGACCCCTCGACCCACATCAACCTCTTTTTCTGATGATTTCGAACCATGCGGTTCATTAGATACGATTTTATCAAAGTATTGCAGTGACCACGTAAACCAAAATATTCAATTTTTTTCAAAAGAAGGTTGTGATCAACACAATCAAAAGCCTTTGAAAGATCAACAAATACCGCCATAACGTTTTCACCCTTATCTAACTTTTTATAAATAATATCCATAATATTTACGAGTGCTGTGATTGTTGATCTCTGTTGCCTAAAGCCATGTTAACTATTACTCAACACATTAAAATGGTTGAGAAAGCTTATGATTTGATCAGCAATAATTTTTTCGAAAATTTTTTAAAAAATCGAAAGTAGAGCAATAGGTCTATAATTGTTTAGATTACTGGTCACCTTCTTTATGTAAACAAATAACTTTTGATATTTGTAACATATTTGAAAACCTTGCTTGATTTAAACACAAATTAACCAAAAAACACAGTGGTTTAGCTATACAATAAACACTTTTTTTATAACATAACTAGAAAAATTATCAACACCACTGGAATTAGTATTTTTTAAGTTCATAATTATTTTAATAACAGTTTGTTCAGTAGTATCGTTTAAGTAAATAGTTTGGTTTACACCAGAAAGTTTAATGTCTAACTTTTCTTGGTAATTATTGCCTTGAATTATTTCTTTGGGTATATTAAGAAAATAGTCATTAAAAACATTTGCTATTTCTTTACTATCATACTATTAAATAAGACCATCTGTAGTTTTAATATTTAAAGGTTTCTTGTTTTTTACTTTGTTTTTAATGTTTTCGTCGATAACGTTCCATACGGTTTTAGACATATTTGAGGAATTGATAATTTTTCTGTCATTATAGAATTTTTTAGCACACATTATTACTTTTCTATAAATGGCTTTGTATTTTCTATAATAGCTTAAGTTAATAATACCACACTGCAAGTCTTTATAATTTTTTTAAAGATTTTTGGATGATTTTATTATACCGGGAGTAATCCAATTATTATTTTTTTTTTATTAGTATATTTTTTGTTCAGGATTGGAAAGCATATGCAGTAGTAGTAGTTCAGTATATTAATAAAGTTTTGAAATTTTATATTTATATCTTCATCGCCTAGCAAAACTGAAGATCAGTTTTCAAACTTTAAGTAATTAATAAATCCTTCAATATTTTTTTAAGAAAATGATCTACTTTTATTTACATTATTTCCGATGTTATCTTCTTTAACTAAGAATTCAATAATTTGAGCAGTGTGATCGCTTAAACCATTATTAGATATAAAGATAAAGATAAATTTATTCAGCAAAAATTACAAAATTAATAAACAATATAACAAATAAATTTTATTGAGTGCACCTGATTTCTCGGAGGAAATCGTACTGTGCTTGATATTTTAATATATTTGTTTTTAAGGTATGTATAACAAAATAAATTACTTATAAATTATCTAACAAAAACATAGTAGTAATTTCTATAAAAAAGAAAACTTTATAAAAAAAAACAAAAATAAACATGATTTTAATTTGAAATTAAACATCGAAAAATTTATTACGTTATTCGTAACTATTAAATTATAATATAAATTAAATTTTATTACAGAAATTTAAATAAAAAGAAAAGAGCCATATCAATAATAATGGTTAATATTTAAGTATTAAGTATTCTTAAGTATTTGTTTTATTAATTGTTCATTTTCACCTATAAATTTTTTTAGTTTTTTACAAAATAAACAAAATGAGTTCAGGGATCTGAGGTTCTGTGGCAAAATACCGAATATTTTTGGACCTTTAACAAGAATTGATTTTTCAAAAGATGTTGACGGTATCCTTGGAATTTGCAAAAATTCATGTCTAGTATTATATGTATGTTGTACTATTTCTCTGACTTCAGGATTTTTGTAAACAAATTTTGAAAGATTTAAAGCATAGAGCTGGTCAAAGTTAAGTACTCCCATTTCCTTATAAATTTCTTCAGTTGGGGATCGACGTTTTTTGATAATATCGTTTTAATTATCCATTTTTTTGTTGTTATTACATTTTTAAATTGAGATTCGTATGTGCCTCCCCAAATAATAATACCATAAGATATTATTGATTCTACCAGTGACTTATAAGCAATTTTCATTATGTTAACCGGTACTCTCTGAGTCTGTAAAATGTAAATACTAATTTTTTTAGTTTGTTGTTTATAAAGTTGCTATGTTCATAAAATTTAAAAGTATTATTTATAATCATTCCGAGGTATTTTACGGACTCAGTTTTCTCAATTGTTCTTTCACAGAGGCAATTTATGTTTTCGTTGCATTTGGAATGAAATATTAAAGTATTAAATTCAGGCTGAGTAGAGGAACTATTTGTAAATGTTAAAAATTTAGTTTTTGTAAAATTAAGACTAAGCAGGTTGTTATCTAGCCAGCGTTTTACTTGGTACAGTCCCTTTTCAGCGTCTTTTTTTACTTCATGCCAAGCATTACTATTAAAAATAAGTACTGTATCATCAGCATATGATAGTATGTCCCCAAATATGGCCATTTCGAGCAGATCATTGATGTATATTAAAAACAATTTGGGTCCTAAAACTGTGCCTTGTGGTACGCCATATTCAAGTTCTTTTGAATTACTTAAGATGTCCTTTACTTTGACAAAAGATTCTCGATTTGAGATATATGTTTTAAATAATTTTAAGACTATTCCTCTAACGCCATAAACTTCTAATTTTTCAAGTAATAATGAGTGACATATACTATCGAATGCTTTTGCCAAATCTAAAAATATAGCTATAATTTTCTTCTTTTTGTTTAATAATGTTTGAATTTTTTTTGTAAAACTGAATAAAGCGTCTTCTGTGAAGCATTTGTTTCTAAACCCAAATTGTTTTTGCGACAATAAATTATTTTTTTCAATGTGCTCATCTAACCTGCTTACTATGCATTTTTCAAAAATTTTCGCGAATACAGTTATGCCTATAGTTTGATGGATTAGACTTGGTGCCATTTTTAAATATTGGTGTAATTATTGCCTGTTTTAGTCTGTCTGGAAATGTTCCATTAATAAATGTTAGATTTGAGTCAAATCAAATGAAACCGGCCACTTAAAAAAGATCTTTTATGGATTTTAAAAACAATTGTGTTTTTTAATAGAGGTATAAATAGATTATTATTCCCTAATTTTTTTTTAAAAAATTTCACTTAATTTAGAAACAATCGCGAATCGAAAATTTACGCATCTATTTTTGTATTTGTTTGTATTTCGGAAACTAATAGACATATTTAAGTGATTTTTTTTTTATAAGAAAGATAAATGTCTATATTTTTTATTAAATATCAATCAATTGTTTTTAATTCTATTTTTTTAATTTTTTTACAATTTTTTTTAAACAATTTCGAGTTTGGCCAGGTTCTCAATTTTATTCTAAAATAGGATTAAATCCATTTTATGCGTAAAACAGAATCGAGTAAATTAAAAAAAAAAAAAGTTAGTAACCACCAATATTAAGGAAGTTATGAATATTTTTCTGATGCCGCGGCCCGGTCACTAACGCGCTTATAAGGGTTTCAACGCGCTGACTTATATTATAATTAAACTATTCTCATTATTTGTGAAGCGGTCAAGCAAAATGAATTGAATTTATTTGAAATACTTATTTAAATAATTTCTTAAATCTTTATTAATGTAGTTGGTAAAAACATTTATAAAATTTAGAACAATAATTATAATTGTTATAAATTAGGTAAATATTTTCTATTAACGATATTAATAAACAAATTATTTAAATAAATACTTCAAATGGCTTATGCTAATGCATTTTGTTTGATAGCTACTCATTTATTAAACGGTTTTAACTTAAAAGTAAAAATTATACAAACAGATAAACAATTTTAAGCTTTAACTAAACTGCGCACCAGTCAATGTGTCGCGACCAAAAATTTCGTCCTTTTTCAAAACGACATAACTTTTTTGTTTCTTGAACGATTTTATTTTGGTTTGTGATGTCTGCTAGCCCAATTCTCTGGCAATTCATGCTATAGATATGAAGCTCACGGTTTTTCAAGTAAATTTACTACAGGGTGATATGTAAAACAGTGAAAAATTTCAATAACTTCATCTAAGCCCCGTTTGTAAAATAAATATTTTTTTCTCGTTTTTACTTTGAAATAATGAAGTATTATGTCTTACCTTAAAACGTTTTTCAAATTTTTAGAATTGGAATCTTAGCAACAAAAATATGATTTTTTTTTCAAAAGAGTACATTTGATGCTTTTTTGTAGGCAATACACTGAGCCTTTTTAAGATAAAAAAGATAAGATGGTGAAAGATTGTTCCTTAAATAATTCTGAACAAGCGACAAACAACAAACTTCCATTAATTTCAGAGGAACCTAAGCAAAGACCACTTTTTCAAAATGACATTTTAGAGAAAATTTGCGAAAACTAAACCTGAACCGATATTTACCTTTGTGACATGTTTGCTTTATAATTTTGACCTCCTGTGATTCAGTTGTCAAATTTAAGTTTTAGATGAAACCAAAATAACCAAGAATCAAAATTCGAAAACAATTCCCGGCTGTTAAATGTCTCAATAACATGCCTTTGCCACTGCCATTTGGGGATTCATTTTTGTTTGAGTGGTTAGGATAATGTTACATAAATTACATTTATATTGCGCACTAGTGATAACTTATTAGTGATAAGTACCTACCTAATTGGTAATAAAGTTAAATACAAAATTTGTTTCTTTATTTTTGAAAATTTTATGCGAAGATATAATCATAATAAAAACTACAACATTCAACAGAAAAATGTAACAAACAATAACAATAATAACTTTCAATATTTCGTTGGCCCTCCCCTAACCCGTAATAATTCGTTAACCCTCCTGAGCATTTCCTAGACCAAGTTACTTAGAAATTTCTGGGGTATGGCTTCCCATTCTTCCTGAATCGAATTTACCAATTCATCCAAATTTTCCATGCGTCCTTTCCTCTCTTTCATCTTCAGTTTCATCCTGCTCCACACATCCTCAATAGGATTCATATCCGGAGACAAAGGTGGCCAATTCATTCTCTCAATATCATGGTCCCTTAAATACTCATTTACGATATAAGCGCGATGCGGACGGGCATTGTCGTCCACCAACACCAAATTATTGGCATTTAATTTTCATCATTTGATCATTGATTTGATCATTCAGTGACATGATAATAACATACTAAAAATGCAAAACACAGTAAAAAAACTGAATCACAATCAGGTCAATTATGAAGAAAACATGTCACGAACGTAAATATCGGTTCAGGTTTAATTTTCGAAAATTTTCACCAAAATGTAATTTTGAAAAAGTGGTCTTTGCTTAGGTTCCTCTGAAAATAATGGAAGGTTGTTGCTTGTCGCTTGTTCAGAATTATTCAAGGAACAATCTTTTACCATCTTATCTTTTTGTTCTTAAAAAGGCTGAGTGTATTGCCTACAAAAAAGCATCAAATGTACACCATTGAAAAAAAAAATCATATTTGTGTTGCTATGATTCCAATTCGAAAAATTTGAAAAACGTTTCAAGGTAAGACATAATACTTCATTATTTCAAAGTAAAAACGAGAAAAAAATATTTATTTTACAAACGGGGCTTGGATGAAGTTATTGAAATTTTTCACTGTTTTAAATATCACCCTGTAGTAAATTTACTTGAAGAACCGTGAGCTTCATATCTATAGCATGAATTGCCAGAGAATGGGGCTAGCAGACATCACAAACCAAAATAAAATCGTTCAAGAAATAAAAAAGTTATGTCGTTTTGAAAATGGACGAAATTTTTGGTCGCGACACATTGAGTGGTGCGCAGTTTATTTCTGCTTCTTTAGAACTTGAAACAATTTTGCACATTAACTTATTGTTTTCTTGCGGTATAAACGCATGAAATTGACGCGTCTTGGGTATAGATTTACAATTTTCATACTTTGATTGGTACAATTTCTCGTGGGTTTTGTATTCTTCATTTGTACAAAAATCAAAACTAATATTTTTAAAGTAACCCACAGCCCAATTATAAAAGTCTTTTGGAGAAGTTATTTGATTAGTTTTTTGCAGACTTGCAATTCTCGCTGCATTTTTTACACATCCACCAATCCCATCGCAAGCGCCTTTTCTATGGGACGTTGCGAAAAAATGCCATTCCGCGCTAATACCATATTCCGATTCATGTAAGAGTAACGAAGACAAATTAAACTTATTTTTATATTGAGACCCAGCTCCATCAGAAAAATAAAAAAAATTTCGGATAACAGAGTCACTAAATTTTGTTTTTAGGTACTGTATTAACTTTTTGTTATACAAATCAACTGACGCAGCTGAATGCTTAAGGCTTTCTGATACTACAACAAAATTTTCGTTTCTTAAAACATTATTTTGTTTGAAGTATGCGACGTAAACATGCAGGGTCGCTTGTGAATTATTCCAGTGGTGCGATTGAATTGCGTCTTGAATAAGGAAAGTATAATTTTCAGAAAAGTCCAAGGTTACAATATATTCGCCCTCATTTATAGTTGCCTTAAGACTATTTAAAAATGACGATTGGGCTGTCGCAATGAAATCGTGTTTTAGCACTACTGGTAATTCCCGTTGGAGTATATTTAAAAAATTTGCCGCGGTTTCCTTAACTGTTTCTAAGGAACATCTAAAAAAAAGGTTTAGGATGGTTTCAAATATTTCTTTTTCGTTATTTTTTGACATTAAAACGTTAATTTAAGAATTACTTTTATTTACCTATCAACTGTTAGCCATTGTGTATATTTTATTTCAGTAATTTCCCCGTGTTCCAAAATTTCGGTAATTTTTTTTTATGACATTTTTAGCTCCAGGACACTTTTGGCAGTTTAGTAAAAAACAATTGGATTTTGATTCTTTACAAACCATCTCGTTAAAGCTGTCACGGTAAGATTTATCGAATTGAATATGTTTTTTCAGCAAAGTTTGCTTTATTCCTGCGTATCTTAGTCTTAGATTTTGGTGGATTTTGCAAACGCAAACATTATGACTGCCTTTTCCACCAGCCAAAATACAATAAGGGGGTCGCATTTCTCGAAATTTGGTCAGGGAAATCTTTATTTCCCAAAACTAAGCGTTTCTAGATACATAAAAAAGAAATATCATTAATTTATTTTACCGTGTCAATAGTTGAGGCAATATAGCTAAGATTTAAAAAAGTCCTTACCGATACTCTTTGACGTTCACCACCGTTTTTGCGAAACGATTTAATGTCTTTCATACCCGGTATTACACGGCTCACATCATCCGACAGGTAACAATTGTTTACTACTTCTAGGACCTTATTGGGAATCGAATTGCCAATTTTTGCATCTGGAAAAGATCCATATCCACAAATTTTTCTTAGGTTTTTAGCTTTTTTTACCATCTACCCCAAAAGTTTTAGCTGTTTTTCGAATGCTCCATGATTTTATGTCCGGTATAGTCGTCAAAAGAGAAATTTTCTGTCTGCGATTGTCTTGACTTGAAATCGTTTTTTTTTTAATTCATCCACCCAATCATCCTGTTCATCGCACATGGATCTTTTTGCTACTGAAATACTTTTTTCAGGTATTTGGTAAGATTGATCTTCCGCTTCACAGTCGCTTAGATCTTCACAATTATTTGCATCATATTCGATTTCTTGGGAAGCACGATTAATTGTAGGCCTAGTAAATTTAAATGTATCTTTTTTTCGATACATTAATGTTTTACAAGATTTACATACAAAGAGACCTTCAAGAACATGAAATTTCTAATGCCATTTATTATTAATTTGAAAATAACCAAGTTTGGAGCGATGTTTATTCAAACCGAGCGGATTACAACAAAGATTTGCACGCGACATTTTAAAACATAATGACAAGTTTTATAAATTTATGTCAGAGAGAAATGTCAAAGACAAATCTGTGAATGACACATCCACACGGTGTAATAAGGATATTTTTAAAAACACTTATAATAATTATAAATAATTATTATTTGTTCATCAGTATTTAGCTTGAAATTATTTTCGTAATAAATACATTTTATTAATAAACTGGATGCAATACATTGTCAACTATTAACTATCACGCAGATTTTCAAAAAACTAAAAAAGAATTAAACAAAATTTTTGTTGTTTTTACATGGGTTTTTTAACAATATAGTTAATGTATATTAATAATGAAATAAGAATTTATTAAAATAATTACTTTAAATGAATTTAATTCATTTTGCTTGACCGCTTTACAAATAATAAGTAGTTTAATTAGAATTAGAGTCAGCGCGTTGAAACCCTTAAGCGCGTGAGTGGCCGGGCGGCATCAGAAAAATATTCATAACTTCCTTAATATTGGTGGTTACTAACTTTTTTTTTAATTTACTCGATTCTGTTTTACGCATGAAATGGATTTAATCCTATTTTGGAATAAAATTGAGAACCTGGCCAAACTCGAAATTGTTTAAAAAAAATTGTAAAAAAAATAAAAAAAATAGAATTAAAAACAATTGATTGATATTTAATAAAAAATATAGACATTTATCTTTCTTATAAAAAAAATCACTTAAATATGTCTATTAGTTTCCGAAATACAAACAAATACAAAAATAGATGCGTAAATTTTCTATTCGCGATTGTTTCTAAATTAAGTGAAATTTTTAAAAATAAAATTAGGGAATAATAATCTATTTATACCTCTATTAAAAAACACAATTGTTTTTAAAATCCATTAAAGAACTTTTTTAGGTGGCCGGTTTCATTTGATTTAACTCATTTATGATATGAACAAGAATATCCGTTATCCATTCTTTTGTTATTTTTATAGTTTTTGTGTTTATTTTGTCTATTCCAGGTGCTGTATTATTTTTTAATTTTATTATTATTTTTAAAATTTCTTCCTTACTAACCGGTTTTAAGAACATTGATTTTTTTATATTAATATTAGGTCTCGAAATTTGACCTATTTCGGAAAAATAATTATTTTTTATGTTTTTTGCGATGTTTTCGCCGACTTTTGCAAAATAGTTAATAAAAACATTAGCGACTTCAGCTGGTTCCAATGTACAATCACCTTCGATAAGTTCAATGACATCAGTTTATATATATACTAAAGCTAGTTAATGAATTATTGAAGTTTGTGCATACATAATCAATTGACGAAAGAGATTTTTTAGTTATTCTCGTTGGTTCATTAAAAACAGTAAATAAATTGAAGAAATGAATTAAGTCTAGTAACTTTGTTTTAGCATCACTGTTAATTAATAAGTTTATGTTTAAGTCACCACATAAAATTAATCTAAGCTTGGGATATTTATTACTAATTAGGTTTAACACAGCTTCTAACTTCACAAAAAACAATTTTAGATCACTGCTTGGTGCTCTATAAACACAAATTATACAAAATAGACAACAATTTGATTCCATTTTTATCACAGCACACTCGAACACTTTTTCTTCATTAAATTTCGAGAAGCCTGGAAGGACACAACAATTTTTAAAGCATTTTTTTGGTAAAATTATGATTCCTCCGTGACGAAAGTTGCTTCTAGTGTAATGACCAATAGTGTTGAAATTGTGAATTTTGATGTGATTAATATCTTCATTAGTACACCAGGATTCAGTAACACACATCACATCAATATTTTCTGTAAATAGGAATACTTCTAATTGTTCAATTTTATTTTTTATACTTTGAAGATTCTGATGAGCAATCTTTATATTTTTAAGTTTGGTGTGGGGTAGTTGCTATTGACTAAGATATTGGGTTTTTGATTTAATAGAATTTATTTGTTTAACGTACATTGGACATTTAGGATTCTTTGAAGAGTGATCACTGTTTAAAATTGACTTAAAACGTTTATTGTAATTAAGGCAATTGATGCATTGTAATTTTGTACCATCTTTGTTACAGTCTTTGAGTCTATGATTATTAGCACATAAAGGACAAACTACATTATTAACGCAATTTTTTTCAATGTGCCCATATTCAGAACACTTGTAGCATCTCGAAATAGCATATGTTTCTATAATCCTGCATTTTTTTCATTCGACAAACAAAAACCCCTTATCTAAAATTTTATTTAAGATTTCAGGTGAAACTTGAATAGTAAGATTTACACTTTTATTATCATTAAAATTGGCTACATGCACTATTTTAAAATTATTTGGATCAGTAACATTTAAATCGTTTAATTTAATTATACTTGTAGCTAACTCTTCATTGGATTTTTCAGTAGGAAGCGTATCATAAACTTTAATTCTTGGCTTATATTTATCAGGAATTGAAACTTTAAAGTCGTTACCGGCGCATCGTTCAATATTGGATTTAATATTATTCATTGCATTTTCATCTAAACAGGTGACAATCATTTTCTCTTTGTTTACGTTTTTTATATTTGTTATGCCCGGTCAATCGGATTGATGTTTTGTGTAAAGTTTTTTATATCATTGCTTAAGTTTTTTGTTTCTACAATTAGAACAGGTGATTGTTTTTTTGTTATTTCATTATACTTTAATTTTGTACTACTTTGCCCCATCTCTTGGATTTCATTTAAATTATTAAAATTACTTGTAGATTTTGTTTCTTCTTCTTGAAATAAAATTATCTATCCTGCTTCGGAGTGTTCCAGGTGCTAATGAGGTATTAGAAGGAACTTTGACTAAACCTGTAACTTTGGCTGAACAAAACTCGTCGTAAGAAGATAAGAATAAGTATGAAAAAGATCTCATGTGTTATATCAAAGCTGATATCAATGCTTTACATTTACTGACAATAAATACAAGGTTGCCACTCACCTGAAAAACCTGGAAATGTCAGAAATTAATTTTTTTTTAGAAATGTCAGGAAAATGTCAGGGAGTTGGCAAAAAAATCTACAAAGTCAGGGAATTTCTAATTTGGTTAGGGAATTGCTTATTTATAAACAAAACTGGTCGAAAAAAATTAAAAAAATTATGTTAACTAGTGTAATTTAATTTTAATGTACTCAAAATACGGCAGCGCTATATGTCAAACTTATCACTATAACCTTCTAAGACTATAACCAACTATTTTTATGTTTAGGGTGATTATTATTTGTTTATTTTGTAAATGGTAAGCATAATTAATAAACTACCTAATTAATCAGTAAAAGCATAATTAATAAATTAATTAATTAATCAGTAAAAGACTTTGAAAAATCATAGTTCCTGTTGATAAAAAACCGTTTCAAGCCAAATGTTTGATTTGCAAGCAGTCATAGACCACATAAAAAGTGCGGGCCATTAAAAAAGGATTTCGGCAACGAAAAACACAAATTTGTCAAATTTTCTTAAAAAAAAAGAACCAGATGGAAAATACTACTCTCTAAAAATGAATTAGTTAAAAATGACTGTCATAGCGAAAAAGCAGTCACTAATAATTCTAGTCAACAGCAATTTGTATCCCGAATATTTAGCAGTCAATTCCTATGTAAAATTGTCTGCTGAATCCGAATACGTCGTCAAAAGTTATAAAAGCCCTCGTCAAAAAACACTATAGAACACTATTGAAAAACACTACTCTATAGTGTTCTATAATATTTTCGAACGCAGTGTTCTATAGTGTCAGAAGTGTTCTATAGTGTCAGAAGTGTTCTTTAGTGTCTATAGTGTTTATAGTGTACCTAGAAGTAGGAATTACTAAAAATGTCATATTTTGAATTTATTTATTTTATTTATTATTATTATATAAAGCTAAAAAATATTTTAAAAATGTATTTTTTTGTTCCATATGGCCTGTGTACTGCTCACTATTCGCCAATTTCATGTAATTCCCTATCAAACACGGAACTTTTCCAATCTTATGTAACTCATCACGTCTCAGGGCCCCCGATATTCCCATAATTAAAACTACTAAACAAACAACAATAAATTAAACCATTTACAAGGAAATTTTTTTATATTTACCTTCCACAGCAAATAATTTTCGTCACTAGCATTTTCCAAAAATATCGTAATTGGCTCTATAACCAACTATTTCTTCAAAAAAGGGACCAACTTTAAATATTTTCTCACGTCTATGCCTTCTTTTATATTAAGCATACACTTAAGTAATTAAGCATCGAATCCACCCTCCATAAGCTTGAACTTTTTAAGGTCTTCAGATTAACAGATAGCATGCTTTTTCACTTTGAAATATGTCATTTCTGACTAATTCTTTTTTAGAGAGTATGCTTGAAAAAGTTACAGTTTTATATGACAATAATATTAATAATAATATTGCTTTAGAAAATAACCAGAATAAATCAATTTCTGCAATAAAACTCCTGCAAAAAATGATGAAAGAAATAAAATCTTTTTTTTGTTTTATCAAATATTTACTGATAAGAACTCATCAACTTGATAAATAAGACCTGCCGCAGACAAAATTTCAGAGACATTCTTAAAAATTTCATTATATCTGTTATTTTCAGATTGAACAGAAAATTAATGTAATAAAAACCCAAGAAATAAAAACCTAAATTAAAAATTATCCCGAAAAAATTAGCTACAGAAAATTTTTTGTTTGTTTTTTTAATAAGATGTATTGACTTTTTGTTAATGTT